CCCCAAAACCCCAAAACCCCAAAACCCCAAAACCCCAAAACCCCTTTATGGATTTTTCAGGTTGAAACTAAAACCTGGGCTGCCAATCACCAAAAAGACAGGCTGTTCTTCCAATAGCGTGTGGAGCTATCTTCCCTAAAGTCATAAAAGAGATGGCATCCACATAGGCTTCTTTGAGTCTGCCATAGTTTTGACTCATAATGGAATGAACATGTTTTTAGAATTTAAAGTTATCTCTTCGAAAAATGAATGTACCGATAATGCTTATATCCATTGTTCAAAAGCACCATTGGGTTGAACTTTAGCTTCAAGTTGATGTTTATATTGTGATCTCCAGTAATTTTCTTCTTCTGTACATGAGGTTAGACACTTCTTAATAAAATTTATTGAGATATGGCATCAAGATAGGGTAATTATAGGTTTCAAAAAGTGTTACCCTTTTACAGATTTGCTCCTTCTTCAATATTTCACTACAGTATAAAAATTAGGTTTACTCAGCATTGCTTTGGATTTTAGGAATACTCTGGTTCTAAAGCTTATTCACACACTTACTTTTCTATTAGAAAACAGGGTGATTTCATCTCAAATTCTAGTTCTATTTGGACTCCTTCCTATGTTATTTAGTCATCATTTAGGACTGGTAAAACTTAGGAAGCATTCTTACCTTCTGAAAGTCAATCATTAAAAGAATCTAAATAGATCATAAGCCATGGTTACCTTCAGTATTCCCAAAATTTAAGAAACTGTTAAGATCACCGACAGTGATTTTCTTGTTTGAAAAACTATTAGTCAACCTATAGTTCATAATTAAAGCTCACTGTTTGCTCAAGATATTTGTACTTGTCAAGTTAAGCCGATTGCCTTTACCACTTCTGTGAAAGTTCTCTCTTGACTTAGAAGTACTACTTTTAACATATCTGTTAAGGTTAACTTTACTGTTTCTCTTCGTTACCCTATTCTTGTATTTAAGCTTAGTGATAATTCCTAAAAATTATTAAAATCATTATACCTTTGACGGTCTGTTTCTTAGCAATTTTATGACTAGTAGAAGGTCTGACTCTCCTCTTCGGACTCTTAATCACTCTCTGAGGAGAGTTATAATAACTCTTACATCCATAATAACTATGAAGATTGTAGTTGCCGATATTCTTCAGGATTATATTAATATGCTTCCTTTTCTGCTGAGGACTTCTAACCCTCCTTGCTCTCTTCATCATTAAAATTATTCAAAAATTATATCTTAATTTGGGGTTTTGGGGTTTTGGGGTTTTGGGGTTTTGGGG